AAGCAGCCGAAAGCTAAATCATCAACTCCCTTTCAAGAAGTGTTACTTTTGCCCCCTCCCAATCCTCGGGTTCCAAATATAAGCCAGGCTCTCAATTTAGTTGTTAGTCCTGGCCTTCCAAGTCCAGTAAATTGGGGAACAAGTCCTCTTCATTATGAAGGGGGCTCTCCTATTTCTCAAGTGGGGTGACCTCTGTTGGCCTTTACAGCCTTTTGTTTTTGGGACATCCCCAATGCCCCTGTCTTGAGCATCATAAACAAGGGTTACATCCCCATCCTCATTTTCTGCTGTCAAACACTTTCCACACTGCTCCCATACAAGCTTAAGCCAGTGTGAACAAAGCCTGATGTCTGCCAAAGCAACCGTTGTTTATTACAGTCAAGCTGTCAAAATTCAGCTGTGCGGATGCTGCATGCACCTTTTTGTTTTTATATACATAACCTGCCGTCTATACTCATTTGGACACATTGTGCTTGCTTGGAGCCAGGGAATTTTGCTAACATTCAGTAAAAAAAGCTAAAAGGCAAAAAATAGGGATATGTAATTTTTTAGTTTAGACCTACTGAATATCTGGCTTTGTACAGCCATGGTATCGATTTGCATTTAATACATGAACAGACACCCTGTGCCACATTTAGTCACTAATGACCCATAGTACAAGTCTCACCGGTGCCTTTAAAAATGAATATTCCGCATTTGATTATTTCTGTCTTTTTCTCTTAGCAGTCTGAATTACCTGATGTCAGCAGCAGCTGACAGAGAACAGTAAGGGCAGCTGTCACCAACCACCTATGTGTCATGTGGAGCAGCTATCTCTGAGGCATTGTGCCAGTGTTAAGATGAGGCAGTGGTGATGTAGACTCGCCAGGGACGATAAAAGTATGCTGTATGATTGCTGGGTAATGAAAAAGAGGACATATCTGGTCATAAAGATTACAGCACAGTCTGCACGCTGACAGCCTCTCTAGAAGGTGTGAGACAAGCAAAGCTCTAGTCTATTTTCCAGTTAGAATTTATTGTGTGCCTCTGCAAGGTCTTAACATTTCATTGTGCTCTGCCCAGATTTAAGACCATCAGGGAACTCTGGAGCAAAACTTATTCCCCTCATTCCCTACTCCCCTGGGCTCTGGCGGAGTGTAGTAAAGCAGTGCATGCAGTGTGGTGGATGTGGCCAAAATCAGCTAACGGTGGAAGGATCTTCAAGGACCATTGTGCAACTCAAGCCAAACTTATCTTTTAGTTTTGGAAAGAGTGGAGAGGGATCAGAACACTTGTCAGATGATTATTTCTGTCTGTGCCCCCATTAGGGAGATTCAGCCTATTTGTCCAGTGAATGTTATTAATGAAAGCAAAAAAAAATTCCACATTTAAAGCTGTCATTAGAATAGAAATAGGTGGTAAATCTTTAAGGGGCCCATTCACACCAGAATTGGAAGGAAATCGCAAGTCAACAGCGGGTTTTAACCTCCATTGACGCCTGTCCCTTTTTTTTGCCAATCTTTATTTTAGTTAACTTGTGCTGAGTGGACCTACCTACTCTCTGACAAAAACAAACCTGGTCTTGTTGCCTGAAACTCTTTAAAATGCAACTGATCAAAATGTAATTTGTAGGATAAATCCATAAATGTAAGTGTAGCACCCTATAAGCAGGAGCGCAGCTTGTATTCAGTCTGATACTGATCTAAAGTGTATGCTCATTTGGTTTCCCCTAAGCAATCTATTATCATTTGTATCTGCCTGCTGCTGGGTGTATCCTTGCTACAGAGGAGAACAACCACTAAGGGATTGTTATGAGTATTTTAGAGCTTCAGCTAACGATTATTTTCAAAATTGATTAGTTAGCCGATTATTAAGTTCGATTAATCCGTAAATCGGATAAAACATCAAATCAAATACATTTTAAAAAATGGCTCCAGTGATGGGACTACTAGTTTGTATTGAGATTGTAGTCCATCACAGGAGCAAGCTTGGAGCGGTGGATGTAAAAAAAAAGTGTGGTGTACAATATAGTGAAATTAAAAGTGTCAAATTATACAGCAATGAATGCAGAATGGCATCGGCTATAGAGGAATACAAAAAAATCTCAGCAATAGTACATTATAGCTGGCTTTATTCTGCATTGCGCTGTATAATGTACTATTGCTGGGTTTTGTACTCTTCTATAGCTGGTGGTATTCCGCATGGCGCTGTATAATGCATGATTGCTGGGATTTGTAGTCCTCTATACAGCGCAATGCAGAATACCACCAGCTATACAGGAATACAACAAATCCCAGCAATACATTATACATACAGTGTATAATGCATTGCTGGGATTTGTATTCCCATGTATAATATACAGCACAATGTACCATCAGCTATAGAGGAATCCAAATCCCAGCAATACATTATAGAGCGCCACGTGTGGGAAAGTGCAGGCTTACCTGAGCAGTCTTCCAGCAACTTGTTTCTGAGATCGGGCCTATCTATCAGCGGCTGTCATCCGCCTACACCTGCTCCTCCTTCTTCTCCCCGCGTCCCTGTGCCGATCGTGGATGTGGGCGGTGAGCGTGAGGCGGGGAGGAGGTGCGGCGTGTGGAGCACGGATGCGGGTGGGTCTGGCAGCGGCGAGCATGAGGTGGGGAGGAAGTGTGGCTCGCAGCGTGTGTGGAGCTGTGAACAGGCGCAACTAATCGGAAGCCGATTAATCGATGATTGAAAAAGTTGACAACTTTTTCAATCATCGATTATAATCGATTATGTTGATTAGTTGTTGCCGCCCTACACTATTTATGTCTCCCTGGACAATCACTAGGAGGTTCATGGCCAGTGGTGCATGCTGGAAGAGGACATAGCATGCCTGAGGGGAGGCTGCTATGGACTATCTGGGATGGCTAGTCCTGAAGCCTAGGGAACTAGCCATGTGCTTACACTGAGGCCTGAGTGGGGGGCCCAGTGGCTACTACTGATACCAAGAATTAAGATGACTTCTGACTTAAGTACTGCTTAGCCAGGTGCTCTAAACACAGCTTGCCCTATCTGGCTTAAAGGTCCTAGTCTGTGAATGGCAGCAGCTACTGTGCTCTTCAAAGTAAGGGAGTCTACATGAGCCTGGATGATCCTC